ACTATCTCTCCATACCTAAGCACTACGCTTGCATATACAAAAACTACCCAAATCCCCCCAGGTCTTTTCTTTCAAGGAGCCAAGCTCTCCAAGGTAGCTTTGCCTTGCTCTAAAGCTACTAAAAAGTAAAGCTACTACTACTAGAGAGTGAGGTGTGTGAGGTGATGCTCAAGTGAAGTGTGTTGAGAGAGGGAGGGGTACCCCTCTATTTATACAAGAGCAAGGTGGTGCTTCTGTCTATCTTTGGCGTGAAGCATGGGATGCACCACCTCAGCATGGGGGCATGTCACCGCCAGAGCGAGGCACGGCTGAGCAGCGCCCGTAGGAGGTCGCTCGCCCCTAGGGGTCGGCCGCCCCTTGACTGTGGCCACTCGCCACTGCCTTCGCCTAGCAGGCCATGGGTTGGACATGGATCCCTGCTCCGTGGTGTTTTGCTCGGTTTGCACTAAGTTGATGGGCGTCTCCCTTGTTCCTTTGCACAAATCAGCATCGAAAAGTGTCTTTCGGTGAATTATTCCATGTATTTGTGTTTGTGACCTGTAAAATAATATTCTCCAAATACATGTGGAACTTGGTTAGTAGTAAATGCATATGTGATCAACATTGCTTATTTGTCCTTTTTTATGTCTTAATTGGCGATCGGATTTGATCGGTAATGATCGCCAACACTAGTTTAGGCTGGAGCCCTACATCTAGTCTCAGAGATGATCGAGTGCGTGTTTCTCGCTTGAATGCTCTAAAGTTCTTACAATGGGGGTGCAAGAATGGTGGAAGAGGTAGGAGATGAGCTGCCCGAAGGGAAACTTTAGGAGCCCTACTATGTTGAGAATGAGTTGAAGATGATGGGAAGGATGCCCTGGCTGCCTTTATATAGAGTTCGGGGCCAGGGCATGTACAAAGAAGAAGGTTCTCCTGACCAAGGGGTCGTGAGCCTGAGGGAGGAGCCTAGCTAACTTGGCTTGCAAGATATGTCATATTGTGAGGTACGTCTAGGCATGATTGTCATCATGGTCTTGTGCCCACATCGTGGTAAGGTGTGGCATGGTGCTACTATGCCAGCCATGGTGGCACTGTAGACACCGTGGTGGTTCGCTAGTCGTCCTATGCGATGTGGTCTTCATTATGGCCTTTGTCATTACCTCCTGTCTCTTGGGGGCATCGTACCAGAGTTGGTAGCCACCCTCAGATCGTCGATCGCATAGCTAGTCTTATGGAGTTGGTGGCCACAATCCCGGGTTCCAAGGTCGTGGCTCCCGTCGACTTGGTTGGCCTCTAAGTCAAGGCCTCCATTGTGGATCCCATCCCGTAGTGGATAGAATCGTACATATGTCTTGTTGGACCATATTTGGAGTTGGTCGTCGTACTGGCAGTCACCATCATGTGGTGTTGTCTTGTCTGTGCTATGTGGCACAGGGATGCGTCTGACTAGACCGAGGTGACCGCTATCCCCTTGGTTCTTGCGGGGTTAGTGCAGCGTGTCTACTCTTGTCAAAGCTAGTGTGCTTGGCAGGGCTCGACCTCTCCCCGTTCTTCCTAGGGGTCAAGACGATGGAGAGGTCGTGAGTCACTTGTGCATCATGCGGCTAAGGCAGAAGGGAGGGGTCGTGGCTGACCCTGGCCTTGGTGTTTGGCCTAGTTCCCTTGGCTCAGCTGGGTCTCGGTCGTTCAGGCCTTCGCTAGCTGATGTATCATGGGCCGCTCGGCCTGCTAACTAATCGTTGCCTTGAGATACCCAAAGATTATAACCCCAACACCAAGAGTCCATAAACAAGCCTGGGCATTCGGTTACCCAATTTTTTCAGGTCGGGTAATTCGGGTAATTCAAAATTCGGGTAATGAAAACTGCTACCCGATATTAGTCCCGAAAAAACACTACCCACAATTTTGGGTACCCGATAATTTGGGTTCGGGTGGGTATTCCCGATATACCCGAATTTACAAAAAACAGCAAACTACATAAAATTTCAGTAGCAATTTATATATAATTTTAGCAGCAATTTGTGTAGAATTTCAATTGCATTTTGTAAAGAATAATATATTACAGTCACTTGTTCAAACTGAGATAATTATATTCTAATAAAGTGATAAGTTCAAGTGTTCAACTAAAAGCACATGATAAATACAAAGACATAGACAAATGTTTGGGTAGTTCAGGTAGTTTGGGTACCGAGGGATATTACCCGAATTATCCAAACTAATTTCGGGTAATCAAAATCGCTATCCAAATTTGGGATCGGGTATCTTGGGTTCGGGTAATTCGGGTCTGGGTTCAGGTAATTCAGGTACGGGTAATGGGTATCGGATATTTTGCCCAGGCTTATCCATGAACTTGTCACAGTGTGTCATTTAGGTCCACGAACTTTGAAAATGCATTTTTGATTCCATGTGCCATGTAACAAGAAAGCCACAACCCAATCGAAGAACTAATGCCATGTTGGTATTCTTAATGTTTACAGATATAACCTGCAAGCACATAGATACTGTTGTAGCATTTCACCGGGAGTATTCTAGGTATCGTTATTTATATTTTTACCATAGGGAAGGATGGTATGACTATTGACATACTTATGATCATAGCATAACTAAGCATCAAAGTCTAAGTAGGGGTAAAAGATGATAATATTTGTATTGTGATACACACATAGAGTCTACTCTCTATAAAGAATAATCCTAAGTCTAGTAAAGAATAACTATAGCAAGCAAGTTAATCATACATCATCTTGATTCCTTTGGTCTTAAAGAATAAATGAATGAATATTAAAATACATAGTTAGTGCCTTGATTCCATGCCCAATAGATGTATCGGGGATACCTCACCGGACTAGTTTATGTAGCCCATGGAATAACTTCTTATGGCCAAGCACCTACGCCATAACCGAATGTGGGGGTTACAAGGGATGGACAGTGCTATCACCACCTGCCGCCTACCCCTATAAACCATGGCGGATTACGTTCATATTTGATGGTGCTCACTAATCTAAGTACCACACTTAGACTAATGGGCACCACTCTTATCCTCTTGGAAAGAACAAGATCAAACCTGAGAGCTCACCAAACCAACATCGTAGCATGAATCAAAACCCTAACAAGGCATTTGCATAAGTCAAATAGATAAACTTTGGAAACCAACATACTAATAAGATCGAACTAGTTCTTGAATGATGAACATATATCAACTTGATCATACTAGACGTTGAATGACGAACAAACATGATCAAGATCATACTAGAATGAAGAACTAGTATAAGCAAGATCACTCCAAGAAAATGTTCTCTTATGAACAAACTCATAAGAACATAAGAACAATGAACTAGTAGGATCAAAGTAGCATGAACATGATGAACATTGCAAGAACAAGATGAATATTCCATCGATGATTGAAAGGTAATACAAGATGGTTAAGCTTTTATTAGAGAGCTAGATCCACCAAGAACACCTCTTGATCTACTTGAGCTTCTTAGAACTAATTGTCCACTAAGGACTTGGAAACTAGGGTTACAAGTGTGGGATTTGTAGCTCTGACATGTGGTGTCGAATACAGGGGTCACACTATGCTTCTATAGGTGGGAATGACCCCCTAAGGGGTGCACTGAGATCGCACTGAGGGGAGATCCTAGGCATCCGAGCTGCCTCTCCCTTAGGATCGGTCTACCCTTGGATTAACCGCCTTGGGCTTCAACTACATAGATGTACCCCTAGCGTCGATTGAGAGATCCTAGAGGCGGTTGGGCCTAGGAGGAGCCCATAGGGGTTCGCTCGAATACCCTTTGGGCCAGGGATCGGCCGATCATGGGCTCCACTAAGGCCCAACTTTGGTGGGGTGGCCCACTAGGCCCTTGTGGTCAAATTCTTCCCTACCTGCCTCTCATTTGGGCCAAATTGGAGTTGAAGTGGCCTTTTGCTCTTTACACAAATGTTGGTGATGCGTCAGAGGATTGAAAGTGGGTTCCTTCGTCTTATTCCATGTGTTTATTTGTGAGAAGTTGTAATCAAAATTCTCCAAGTAAATGTGGAACTACGTTATTTGGAAACAAATATACATATTAGTGATGCTAGTCCTTTTCTTTCTGCAGTAATTGACGGTCGAAATTGGCATTTGGTGGCTGTCAGTGACTCCCTGAAGTTAAACTCTTGCTTGTCCTAAAGCAAGAATTAGACTTAGGCTCGGTGGATCAGGAGTTGCTGCAATGTTCTTTTTCTCAAATGTACCTTTGCTTTTCCAAAATTTGAATAAGTTAGCAAAGGTAGCTCTCACCCATTTTACATTCTTACGCATGGTGCTTTTGTTCTTCTCTTTGTCTTGGGTGGCTAAGAGATAGAACGGCATGAAAGAGCACTCTTCTCTTTTCTTTAATTATGCTTTCATCTCCAGAGGTTTTTGACAAGTTTTGAAAACAAAAGTTCAGTTCCTCAAGTGATGCTCTCAAATCGTTCATAATTTTGTTGTATCGGATCCTCACCAAAGGCTTTTAAGTGTAACATCTTTTTCTTGGTGTCATCTAATAGGCTTACGTGGATCATTAAGTATAGAAAAATGAGACATACTTGTGTCACATATTTTTCTAAGTCAAAAACCACGTTATCACTTGTGATCTAATGTATATTGTTCCAGTGAACTCTATTTATGTGAGATTGACGAATTTATGTGTTGTTTAACTATGAGTTTATTATCTGTTATTAATGTGATTTTATTATTTGAGTTGACGCGCGCAGGACAGATAAAAGAATCTGAACTAACGCGCGCAGGACGGATAAAGGGATCGCTAGGGATGGGAGGCTCGGATTTCATTTCTGGGCTCTGTTGGTTTGTGGGTAATCCACTCATTCTTCTCTCCACGCGCCAAAACCCCAGCCACGGGGCCACGGCCAGCTCCTACTCCCGTTCGTCCCCATCCAAAAGCTGCCCAGGAGAAAAAAAAACACTTATTTGCAGCGCGAACACCTCAAAAATCACTCGCTACTGCTGTTGACGCGCGGCGGAGAAAGAGAGCGAGGGAGAGATGTCTCTGCAGTCCGTGGCGCACGCGGTCCGAGCGCTCGCCGTGCTTCCGGCGCCAGCCTCCCCTCGCCGCCGGACAAGCCATGTGTCCCTAACCCTTCCGACCCGGCGGCCATGGCTCGCCGTCGCGCCGGTCCGTGCGGCGGAGTCGTCCTCCCCGCCCGCCGTGCCCGCCTCCGCGGCCGGCAAGGCCGTCGTCCCGGACGACGAGTTCTCCCTCGCCAAGGTGGGGAGCCTCGGCTATTTCTTGCTTCTTGGAACATGGTGCAGCGCCTTGGCGGTTGTCACCCCGAAGGCCCGAAAAATCAAATGCTGAATCTGCCGTCGTTTGCAGGTGTCCTTCGGTGTGATTGGGCTGGGGGTTGGGCTCTCGCTTCTGTCGTGAGTTCTGAATCTTTCCAGTCTTGTCAGTGTAAGAGATTCAGAATGCTCTGTCGTGGGGGTCATGTGTTCTTGCATCTCAGGTACGGATTCGGGTCGTATTTCAACCTGCTTCCTGGTTCGGAGTGGTCAGCTTTGCTGCTCACCTACGGGTTTCCTCTCACAATCATCGGCATGGCTTTGAAGGCAAGAACTCTCCCTACGTACAAGGCATTACTGGATGACATCTATAGGGACGACCCTGTTACTTTCAAACTCTAGGGGTGCCTATGACTGTCATTCGTCTTCTCTAAATTATGTGGCTTGATGTTTCGTGCTTGATATTATGTTTTGGGATGCAGCTTGCACCTAGAATCTCAATTGGCTGATAGTAATTTAGTAATTTATTAGGTTGAAGGTGCTCGGTTTCTTTGCTGCTGTATGTGTTCATTCTGAATTTTCTAAATGCAGTATGCAGAACTGAAACCAGTGGCCTGCATAACCTATGCTGATGCCTTTGCTCTAAGAGAAAAGTGTGCTACCCCTATTCTGAAGCAGGTAATATTTATTTATACAATCAAACATTTACTACTTAGTATGATGTGGTGAACTGTTTATATTCTGTTATATTGTTGTCGTAAGTAAAATTTGGCTATATTACCAACAGTTTCCTGAAGGTGGAACTTCAAAATGAGATGAACTTGAAATTTGTATGGAAAAAAAGGTATTCTGCATAGTGCATAGATGGGAAAAGAAACTAACACTATTTCAATACCACCTAGATAATACACCATGATGTGAGACGTTTCAGTCTTGAGGATCAAAAAAGAAAAGTGTTAATACTAAGATTCTTAGTTAATTTCCAGCAGTCTACATGGAGGATCTAACTAAGGCAAACAAATAACTCCTTGATTAATTTTTGTTTCATGCCAAAGTGATATTGACTATCACTTATTTAGTTACATCATGATGCAATAGATAGATATAAGAAATTCAATAATTTTGGCATCACAGTATCATTTAAACTTACGTCCGACCACAATCCCAGATAGCGAATACAACCAAAGCTTGATGATATATTTGATTCTTTTGCAGCACACTTTGGTAGCTTAGATCATTGGTGAATTTTTTGTAAATGCTAAATCATTCTAATCATTAATTATCAAAATGGTGCAGCATATGTTTTAGAGCTAGTAGTGCATTATTGTTTAAGCTCTTGCTCTCATGCCAGAACTTGGCCTTTTTGGTTATTAATATCCATGCATTTTCACGAGAAAAATTGAAGTTGTGAGCTGAACTGACAATATAGCATAGAAGGATCAAGCATGCATTCAAATAACAGCAAATTTCTATGGTGCCATTTGTTTAATCTGACATAATTGCGTATTCCTAGGTCAGGAGTGATGTTACACGTTTTAGATATGGTGATGAGCAAAACCTGGATGAAGCACTACAGAGAATCTTTCAATATGGTTTGGTAATTCCTCATTCTGTCCATTTCATGATTAACATTGTTTTTCTTTATTCACACACGCCATTTTCAAGCTACGCAAATGGCCACTGATATGTCTTACAAAATTAATCTCTTTCGTGGTAAGGATTTTGTTGTTATCTTATGGCTTCTTTCTCTTGTAAATGGTAGGGTGGTGGCATTCCTAGGCGTAATGCGCCTATATTACATAAGATTCGAGAAGAAGTAAGTTCACTGTCTGTTCGTTTTATTCTTGGAAGTAGTAATCTTTATATATTGCAAATTGTAACTACATTTCATTTTGGGGTTTGTATAATGTACTGACTTTTAAGAGTTGAGTCAAATTCATAGTAGTATAGGGAAATTAACTACGTGGTCCAAGAAGACTTCAGACAATCCACAAAATTTGTGTGGTGTGAGTCATTGTATATTAAAAGATATCGACCTGCGGTAGGTAAGACGGCCCGGGGCATTGCAATAAGATCTTCTCATGCACCAAACCCCTGCCCCACCCATACAAAGCATCACTGTAGCCTATGTGAGAACGACCACGACCGAGACTGGACCTTAGACCTATGCTTTGGTATGGAGCAAAAGAGAGGATTTTTTAACCCCGGTCTAAAAATTCGCTCCCATGGGGAGAAAATTCTGATTTTCTCAACGGGCTTAACTTCTTAATTGGGTAATAGGAAGGATTCTCTGAGCTAATTAGATGTTAAAAATATATTAGAGCCTAATGGGGGGAAATGTTAGGTTTTCTATGCTTTACCTTTGTTAGAAATCCTAATTATTCTTGATTATGGATTGAAAAGGGATGTTTTTTTCACGCAAAAGACTATGGGGGAGATCCCCACAGTGAGAAACTTTTCATTAATTAATAAAGAGTGAGCAAACTTACATACAGGGATTAACTAAATGCATCAAGCCATACACAAAAGTTGACCTAAGGTCATCTTTGAAACGTAAATATTGGAGGAAACACTGGTTTTTAAAGTTGGCTATCCAAACAGTAGGGCTTGGGTCACGTCTTTGGAAAACCTTGTCATTGCGTATCTTCCACAGCTCCCATGCTGCTATCAAGGCTACTTCAGTGAAGAATGGTAGGTTGCTCGCCGTCCTTGCCTGAGTAAATCTGTCTAGCAGTTGCAAAGAAACATCCCAATCAAAGTGGATGACCGCCCAACATTCCTGTGCGAAGGGACAATAAAAAAAAGAGGTGTTCTATAGTTTCCTCAGCCCCGGTATTGCACATGACACATGTAGCACTGTCTTGTATGTCCAGATGTCTTCTGCGCAGCATGGATTTGGTGTTCAGACGGTCCACCATAACAAGCCAGGCAAAGAATTTGATTCTTGGGGTGCACCTTAATTTCCAGACTATCTTGAAGATCGGGTGGGCTTCCATATTGCTGAAAACATGGGAGTAAAAAATTCGTGACATATACTTGCTGCCCCATATTGGCGACCAGCTATCAACACTGTTCTCATCATACAGCATGACTTGTAGCTGTGCCTGAAGACTTTCTAGTTCATCAAAGGCTTGCTGAGAAAGAGGTAGGAAGAATAGTGCATCAAGGTCTTCTGCTTGCATGACTTCTAACACCGAGATTCCATCACTTGTGGCAAAGGAGGCTAGTCTTGGATATTTGTGAGCCAGCACCGAGTCTGCCCACAAATCATCCCAGAAACATACAGAGGAGCCATCACCTAACTCACATTTAGCAATACCTCTGAAAATGATATTAAGACGTAGTACGTCTTTCCACCAGAACGAACCCAATTCTCTTGCTGCATGGGGTACTCGGTTGTTGTAGTATTTGTGCCAAACGAGGCGAATTGAATGTGTAAAAGAAACAGTATATTGATAAAGAGACTCTATTTCAAAGTCAAAAGAGCGATTGAGCACCTGAGAAGTGCTACTCAAGCCACATAACCAACTCAGCTAGAGACCCTTTCGCAGCCATTGTGGATTTGACATTTGTCACTATAGAATATTACATAACCAATTTATGCTGTCATTTCAAGCAAAATTAATGATAAAATTAAGTTATGATGGACATCTTCTGTTCTTTCAGTCTACAAATTAGCTACACGAGTTACTAAATGGCCAGCCCAATTTCCTTGGCATGTTTCCTCTTACAAGATTCACTGTAATATTTTGAATGTAGGTAACTGAGGATGGGAAATACAGTTTAGTACTTGTATTTGAAGCCAAAGCATTGGAGCTATCTGATTTTGAGAAGAGACAGGTGAAAACACCTTCTTTAGTTACCTGTATTGTCTGAAGCATGAAACAATACCAATATTGTGTTATATAAGTATAGAAATATTAGAAGCAGTTTGAGTCTGAAATAGATGAGATTTTCTGAACAATTAACTGTTTAAAAAATAGGTTTTGAATAAAAATAACCAACCTAGGAGGGACTAGGTGTCATTATAAATAATAAGAATAAGGCACCCCAAATCAATTTGAAGATGAAGCCTAGCTTAGTTCCTTTCAACTAAGGAGTCATTTCCCCAGCTTTGGACAATGGCTACCACTTTAGCCAAAATTATAGGAGAACAAATCTTGTTGCACAAACAATCCAACTGCTCTAAATATTATTCCTGCTGACAAACGAAGCTCTTAGAATTTTCTCTCAAAAATTAACAGCACAACCACTGAAGATGCTTCATCCATGTAGGGATGCTGCTTATATTGTCTGTTGGGGTGTACTATTTTGAATAGCTAAGCTGTTACACGACGAAACACATCTTGTCTTTTTATCCAAAATCTGTAATGGCAGAATTAAGTATGTAAGATAATTTGAGTATTGATGTCTTGCACATATTTTTCTGCAGGCTAAATTCACCTCCTTTTTTGGTCCTGGGATTAAGGCAGAAATTGGTAGGTTTTTCATAATTTTTGTATTTCTCGAGAATACTATGAAGGCTATATAATCTGTCTCACCCATGGTTGCAACATTGGTGTATCAATGCAGGAAAAGATGGTGATGGTCTATATGAAGTTTGTCTTATCTCAGAGACTACTTAGAAACAAACTTTGGGAATTTTCTCTAATACGATACTAAACTTATTCCTTTTTTTCCTCTGATCCACTGATTTTGCATATATGATGTTAATAGTGTCAGATTTTACCCTTGTTTTTGTTGTGCCTCTAAGCTTTGATATATATTGGTTGTTGATTCTTGGCTGCGACCTGGCACCTTCATACACTCCATGGACATGTGCAAAGAAAAAGCAGTTGTATATAGATGTAAATGGACTTGATTCTGAACGCTGTCCATATAGTTGAAAGCTATTTAGCTATGGTTTTTCATGGAGTTGAATAGTGGTTGATTCGACAAATCCTTTCTTTCTAATGTCATTGGCTTACTTTTGTCCACATGAGAAACGTAGTGCCACTGCTACATAGTTTACTTCTTGGGAAGGCAGCAGCAGAGTATTTGTATATATACAGACATACAGTTCAGACATTGTTTCTTGACAGTGGACTTTGTAAAAGTTCGTCACTGGTGTAGCATACACAATTCTGTACTTTTGGCATGTGTTGTGGATCACTCCTCTCCTGCATTCACATGCAGAGTGAAACGTTTCAGCGAAGGATCGACAAAGCTGTGAACTGTGAAGAATAGAGAATTGCTGCAACAGATCTGAGGATCACGAAAGCCTCGATTAATTAATTCATTCCAGGATCTGGATCTAGGTAAACACTGAGCACTGACAATAGTAGATCCTTCTTCTGGTAGGCCAGATTACGGACAAAGAGCAGATGAAAAATACTTTGCAATCAAGTGAATGTTTGCCATGTTTGCCGTCGTGTTGCAACTAAACCCATGATTCGGGTTCCCAACTCCAGAAGCAAAACATCCTTGTTGGGGACTAAAACTAGTGTATCCAAAGAGGATGAGCTAATAATCATCAACGTTGATTCATCCGAGCGGTCAAGAGCGCGGCTACAGCTCTTGCCGACGACCATCGAGGCCGCGGGCTTCGCCTCGTCCGACCCCCGAGGGTTGGCTCCTCCTCGGCCAACGCCGAGGCCGCGGGTTCCGCCTCGTCCGACCACCGAGGTCGCGGGCTCCGCCTCGTCCGACCCCCGAAGATTGGCTCCGCCTCGGTCAACCCCCGAGGGTTGGCTCCGGCTCGTCTGACCCTTGAGGGTTGGCTCCATCTCGACCCGACCCCTGAGGGGAGGGGGGCTCCGCCTCGCCCGATGTCTGAGGGCTGGCTCCGCCTCGCCGATCCCTCGGGCACGGCTCCCAACAGAAGCCCACGCCGTCGTCAACCACTACGGGCCAGAAAGTACAACCCAAGGTCAAACTTCTAGCATCGTGCAAGAAGCGGTCACGTCTCAACACGACCCGTCCCCGCGACATGTCATTCCATGGAGCTCACATCGCCCACAGTGACGGACGCATGGTCACTATGCTGCCTACTCCCTGTACGGTCGCTGATCAGCATGCTGGTTCGCCGCGCCGCCTGCCAGGGCGGAGTGGGACGTTAGGACCCGCTGACAACGGTAGGGCATGGCATCATCAAGCAGACAGGCGTCCGGCATGGGGCTGTCTCTATCACCACATGCCATGTCAGCGGAACCCGCGCAAAGGAAAAGGAAGGCCCGGTGACCTGAAGGACTCGCTCTCTCTCTCTCTCTCGTTCTCCTCTTTTCTCCTGCTGTAACCCGTGCTTTTCCTTGGCCTATAAAAGGGAAAGCAAGGCACCCCACTAAGGGGCATCGAACAAGCGACCCATCACACAAAGGAAACTTGATCCGAACACATCCAAACTCATCCGAACCGATCGGAACCCATCACAACACACAACCAGAGACTTGGGACTTGTCCCTCTCTCGACTGTTTGTAACCCCTACTACGAACTTCTCAGTACTAGTAACACGAGCAGCAGCAACGAACTGGACGTAGGGATGTTCTGCCCGAACCAGTATAAACCTCGTGTTCTCTTAGCACACCATCTGGGCCAGACGCGCAATAATACAAATTTACTCGTTGGTGTTTACTCGAAACACCGACAGGTGGCGCGCCAGATAGGGGCCTTTGCGCGTCTCGACATCAACACCAGGCTTCGGATGACCAATCACGACATCAGCTAGGTCCCGGGTGCACACGTACATTTCCGGGACCTAGACTTCATCATCACGGCGGAGGGAGAGATGGCGCGGGCGCCCGTTGTCGTTCAACCCCTCCACTCCACTGGCCTCGACGCGATCATCGAGGTGCTTGAGGAGCTGCGGCTGCATGCACCGGAGGCCCTCGCCCCTGGGAGCGGCCAGCTCCTCGACTTCGACTACGGGAGGTTGGAGCATCAGCTTAGCGTCTTCCTAGGACCCTAACCGTCCCGGGAGGACCTGCGCCACCTCACCTTCTCGTTCGCTAATGTCATGGCGTAGCTTACTGGGGGAGAGCCGCTCTCCCTAGAATACCTCATCCAGAGCACCCCGACAGTCCTCCCGTTCAGTCTCCGCAACGCCGCAGAGACCGTTAGCCACCTTGTGGCGCAACGCATGATTCCATCCCCCGCGAAGGACGAGTTAATGGGGGTGATCGAACACGTCGCGGAGTCTTTCCATGACCTCCTCGCAGAGGAGTCTGGGTCGCCCTCCGCTTCTGACTCCAGTAGGGGAAGCCATCACCCCTCTCATGAATGCTTCATGGCAGGTACCTCCGAAGGACACGTCGAAAGCATCCGCGAGGAGGAGGCTACCTCGATGAACGACCTCGACGATGAGGTCGAGGGGGAGACGGCGGCCCCACCTCGCATGCGGGTGGAGCAGCTAAAAGCCCGACACCAAGAGCTCGAGGAAGCGCGACTCCAGCTCGAGCAGGAACGCACGGAGCTCGATCGAGAGATCGAGCGCCACGGAGACGCGGGGCGCGCACACGCCATGGCCCATGACGTGACCCGGAGGATCATCGAGGACGATCAAGCGCTCCCGCACTTTGCCCCGGCAAGCTAGAACATCGTTGCTATGGCAGACTTGCTCAGGGGGCTTCCGAGGCCTACGATGCTCGAGGATCGATGGGCCCACAGCGAGATTCGCACGCTGCTCGAGTGTGCGGCTGCGCAGCAGGGCGAGAGCTCTCTGTCTCAGCAACGCAAGCTCGACGACAGTGGCGAGGATCGAAGCCCGAGCCTCGGCCTACCGAGGCCTCAGGCCTTCGGTCGACACATCCTCAATGCTGCATTCCCGCCAAGTGTGGCAGAACCTCCTAAATTATAGGGCCCACATGCACCTGTCACTGTCCAACGACCTTTGACATTTATGCATATGTTACCGATAACTTAAGAAGACTGTCGGGTGTCCTCGGAGAACCCCGAATCATCCACGATTTCCGAGCAGGATCACATTACAGAGTCATTGCAGTATTACAACATTTATCCAAATATCAACACAGAGTAAATCAGCGGAAGTCTTACAATAACTTAGTTTACAAAACATTTATTTCAAACCTTACAAACTAAGTTCGATTATTATTACAAAACGTAGTAGTGGAGTGGCATTATAATATATACAAAACACACAAATATCACCGCCTCGCCTAAGGGCACACATTACTTATCATCATCGTGATCGAACAACGGTCATGCAAAGACGATCCAAAAGCAGATCGCTCATGAGCCTCACCGCAACAAGGGTCAACAAACCACGAGTACTAAAGTACTCAACAAGACTTAACCGAAATAAAAACTGATAAGACTCAGGAATGCAGGCTCAGGGATTCAAGGTATGGCTTTAGCAATAATCAAAGTTCTTTTGCTTAAAAGCACTTTAACAAAATTCTTTGTATCAATATTTAAAATCTCATCAGATCATATACAAAGCTGACACGATCCGTATTAAGATCATGAAACTTCATATCCAACACTTTCTCGAACCATTCTCGAGTTCCAGTTATTAATACTACGATGATGAACAGAGAAGCGAGTCTCCATAACCGAGGAGCAACGACGATTGAATCGATTATAAACCCAATTTGGGACTTCAGAGACCACACGACATATGTAGGTCCCCGACCTACATATACCAACCTACCCTTGGATCCTCTAAACAAGAACGGGTCCGCGCCACCCGAGAGCACAAAGACACCTCAAATCCGCCACATTCCAGCCCACGAGGGTACACGCTACTCCCGCCATCTCTCCACTCCGGTCTTGTGCTGAGTAGCCATTCTCGTAATAGAATAGCCAAGTTAAGGCTTACCGAGTATGTGGTTAGTACTACAAAGTCTCACCGCAAGCGGTTCACCAACGGTACGGACCTTTAATCGACACAAAGGAAAGAACCCGCTCACAAGACATTACGTGTCTTGTGGCTCACACACACCGAGTCCGCCCCGGTCTAGATTTATTACTCCACATTGCCATATCACATGATAACATAAGTAACCAAAGTTCCATTTAAAACTCGCGGTGACAGTAATCACCCAACTCGATCGGTCTAAGCAAGAGCTAAGCATAACTAGGCATATACGACGATTTTAAACGGGTAACAAGGTAGATATGGAACAACAAGGTTGATAATGCAACAATTAGGTTTCCACTTGACTTCTAATCACTTAATGCAATATTGAAAAGCAAAAGCGAAATCAATTTGTAAAATACAAGGTAGGGTTATATGCATCCGGGCTTGCCTTCGTTGATGGGAAAAGTCCGGCTCTCGCGACGTTTCACAAGTCTTCGATCCGACCTCAACAGCATGATCAACCTCCTCCAAGAACTTGATTAACTACCACGTGCTCACCTTCGTTTACTACACGTAGTAACATTGCCATGCTTAACATGATGTGAAATATGAAACATGATGCTCGATGATGGATACAAAAATAAATAAATTGGATACAATTTTTTTCTTCGCAGACTGATTACAAACCAAATTAACCAAACCATATTCAGAATCGATGTGACCACGCTAGCACCGATCACTTTGGTGAACTCTCCACCACTATGGTGAACTATCCAGACCACTATGGTGAACTATCCGACCACTATGGTGAACTATCCCACCACTATGGT